GCATAGCCCTTGAGAGATAGCTGCACCTGACAGTTTGCCTTTTGAAAAGCTTCTTGGGATACATTCCTATCAAAGTTCAATTCTTAGATGTCTCTCCACGTATGCGTGTACAACCTTTTATTAGACTGTTATAAGATGAACTAAATTTATCAGACAGACAAACTATTGCCAGTGAAGGCTTTCAAAGTCTGTTTTAAGATTTCACTTAATCGTTTCTTCTCTTTTGATTTTTCTCCATCCTTCTTTCCTTTCTCCTTCCGTTTCTCTCTCTGTTTCTTTCCTATCCTCTTCCCACACTCATCTTTTTAGCTTTTATCTCCACAAGTTGTGCTGCCCTCGCATTTCCTCTCCACATCTGACTTTGCAATTTAACAAGGAATAAGCCAAGCAATAGTAGGGGTCAAACAGGAAGCAGAAGACACGTGGAGAGTCAAACTGTTTCTGACTTTTACATATTTTTAAAACTTTTATTATTAGTTTTTATTACACAAGTAATACATATTCATTGTAGAAAAATTAGAAAACACAGAAAAGAAAAAAGAAAAAATAATCATCCATCATCTCACTACCCATAGACAACTGCTATTAACATTGTAGTGCATGTCCTCCTAGCTTTCTTATGCATATATATATATATATATATACACATATGTAGGTATATTTATATATAATTTTCTTTTTTACAAATATTGTATCATACTATATATATATGTACTATTTTATAACATGTTTTTTCATTTAATGTATACTGTGAACATCATTGTTTATTCCCTGAAAAATTATACAGATATTACATGCTCATTGTGTAAAAACTAGAAATTACAGATATGCGAAAAGAAAAAGTATTTGCTCCAAATCTCACCTCCCAGAGATAAATGCTGCTATACTTTTGGCAATGATCTTTTCAGACCCCTTAATGCACACACCCATATATATATTTATAAGAAGGGATCACACATTAACATTGTTCTGTAATTTCCTTTTTTTCATTTCACAATACTTTGTACAGTTCATTAAATGTACACGACACTTATTCTAATTGGTCCTCAGTATTCCATTGAAAAGACATACCATATTTAGCTAACAATATAATCTAGGCTTATTTATATTTTTCTTCTCAAATAATGCTGCTATAAACATCCCTTCTTGCATATTTTTTTGAATAATGAATGAAGGCATCTTAGCTCCTTCTTTCCCTGGAACTTCTAAAAGGAGAATTTCCTTAAGGTGGAATTACTGGGTATGCAGGAAAACTATAGTGCCAAAATATTTTTCAGAAAGGTTGAATCAACTTTTGCTCCTGTTGAGCGTAAGACAACATTCATTTCCATCCTTTCTTGTTGTCTCTGGGAACTGTCATTTTTCAGGCTCTCTACCTTTTTGAGTTTTAAAAAGGAGTTTGCTATAGTAATCTGTATTTTTATTACTAATACATTTAAGTGCTTTCATGGTTATTACTGGTGAATTATTTTAGGTTGTGGTGCACTATCACTTTATGTCCATAATTTTTTTTTCTACTAGAAAGTTTGATTCTCTTTGAGTCATAAAATACACTTTATGTCATTCATTTTTTACTCATTCAATAAATATTTTTTCAGTATTTGCTTTGTGTTTCATGCTGTATTAGGCTTTGGAGAAACAATAAACAAAAGATATAATGCTTGTTGCCATCTGCACTTCCTGTGTAGTGGGATGAACAAAGAAGAAATAATGAAAAAAGCACAGGGACTGTAGATTGTGGAAACTTTCTCAGAGTAATGATTTTTAAGTTCTTGATATATGTTAGAGATCTAGACTCTTTGTTCCATCTGCCACATATATTATTTTTCTTAATTTGGCTTATTTTTATTCTTTAGGAGTTTTTTTAAATTTTTAATTCGTCCAACCTATTGAAATGCTTTTTCCTCCACACTAAAACTATGTATTGATTCATATTGCCTGCTAGTCCTTTTGTGTGTTTATTTATATACTTTAACATTTAAACCTTTATTTCATATAAAATTTATTTTGTTGAAAATTACAAGATATAGATCTAATATTTCTTCCACAATAACTTAACTTGATAATCTAACCTTTTCTTAAGTTTGAATTATCTTGTAACATACTCAATTATTTTACATTCTTGGGTCAACCGCAGACTGCATATTTAATTCTAATGATTTATGAAGCTAATAGTACAACTGCATTTTCTCATTCTATATACAGTTACCTGAAAGTTGAACAATTTCTGTTGAGTGACATTCTGGAATACAAAGAAACAATAGACACTGCTTAGGCATCAAGGGGCAGAAAGTTAGGGTGGATGATATCCTTCATCCTTTTACTGTTGAGACTTTCAGAGTCTGAACCTCCAGACAGGATCATTATTAATCCAGTCCAGTTCCTTGCTTTCTGAAATAAATTATGAGCTTTTCTACTCCTGTGTATTTAGTTTTTCCTCTCACTCTGAAGCATAGCTTTCAGTAGGTGGCAGTATTGCCAAACACTGAGCATCCCACCCGTTTTCACAGAAGCCCAGAGGAACGTAATGGTCAACAGGATTTTAGAATTTCCCTCAGGAGCTTTAATTAATTAGAGGAGGCATTTAGGTCTGTGCTACTTTGAAAACTTTCTTTGTACCCCTGAACAAACGCATGACTGGAACTTTGTAGTGAGTTTATATCTGGATGCATACAATGCATGACTGGACAAGGGGCTGGGGATGTAACTCAGTGGCACCGTGCCTGCCTGGCAAGTGCAAAGTCCTGAGTTCGATCCCTGGTACCACAAAAACAAAACAAAACAAAAACCCCACCAAAAAACCCCCAAACCACATTGGAATTGTGGGCCTTTTATCTCTTATCTAAAAGTGCCTTGGACCCAGTCCCTTGCTGATTTAAAGTCCCAAACTGTAGTTTTAATTGTGGTGGGATTCAGGTGACTTTAACTTTTGTTATGTGCTAATATTTTTCAGATTTATCACAAAGAACATGTATTGCCTTTGTCATTTGGGAAAATAATAATCAACAAGAGTTACAAAAAATTGGAGGTAAAATGAGTGAGTGTATGTGCCACATTTACATCGTCTTCTGTTTCAAGCATGTGGGTACACATGAGAAAGCAGGTTCACTGTTCTCTTCTTACCTTTAGAGACCAGCTTATGGTTAATTGCTAATCTCTAAGTAAATTACCAGCAAGAAGCTAAGACAGCAGAACTTTATCTCATGGAACTATACCTGAGAAAGTCCTTGGGAGGTGGAAGGAGAGAGGGGCAGCTCAGAAAGGGTGCACTGGCATATCTAACGGGAGACGGTGAATCACCTATTGCAACCATGAGCCAATGTAGATTATCAGAACTTTCAGTACTAAATGTAATTTTCGGACCTGCTACTGAAAGAATATCTATAAATCTTGGAGTATGTCTACAGGAACTATAAAATTGATCAAAGTCTGGAAAACAGGCACTATGAATAAAAGATAAGGTGGCTGAGTATATTATCTTAGATATGGAAAGTCTGGCTAGGTAGTTAGACAAATTCCCATCTCCATGAATAGCTACTACAGCCTTTGCAGACATGGAGGTGAGATCTGAATTTATTAACAGTCTTTAGGTGCACAAAGGACAATTGCGCAGATGTTACTTTCACACTGAGACTAAGGCGAGAGTGAGCTCAAATTAACCAAGCAAAAGTGATTTAGGTCAGGCATTTAGAAGAACGTGCTGAACAACAAGATTGGGCTTAACAATTAATAACTTTGCATGGATTAGTAGGAACAAGACGGAGGCTAAAGGTTCAATATGGTCAAAGGTAGGAGAGGGCAGAGACAGAAGCTGAGAACATGCTGATTTGGGCTACTTCATAATCTTGAAAACAACGGCCCCTAAATGAAATAACATAGAGGGATGAAAATGAATCAGATTCAGGAAAGACTATTAAACTTTAATTAAGGTTGATTTATGAAAATCGAGGTCAACAGACCAGGTGAGTCTGGTCTGATTACTTGTAATAATATGCTATCACAATTGTTTTACAAGGTTTTGATTTAGAAAATTGTGATTTTTCTCATACAGCTTGTTAAGGGTACTTCCTTTTGCAAAGCCAGGCATATCTGGAACCATGCATTAAATACCAATTTGTTGAAACACAAGTGTAGAAGTCCAGAACAAGGCCAAGTAACAGCTGGTGTAATCAAAGTAGGGACCCGAGTAGCCTTTTAAGATGTCTTCTAGTCTCTTAATTCTTTTACTTTTACCTTGGATACTAGGAGGAATTATCAGAAACTGCCATTTTTATAGATCAAAACAGTCAAATATCAGCAATCTCATATAATTCAACCTAATACAGTAATTATTTACTTTCTTCATTTTCATTTACGCCAAAAGCATTAATATATTTAGTTTTTAGGTAAAGATATTAATGTACATAAAAATGCCTCTGCATTGGGGTTGAAGATGCATCTTATATAAACCACATGTAGGCATTAAGCTCAAACTTCTATTGTGCTGGACACTGGTGCTTCCTTTCTATCTTGAAGATTTTTCAAGCTATAGAAACAAGAAAAGAAGTGCAAAGACTTGATTTTTCCAACCATGGGAAATTCTGAGAAATGGGTCAAAGGCAAAATGGGGAAATATAACAAAATTTGAACCGTGTTACAAGTTTAGTGAAGGAAGATCACAACAAAGCTGTGAGCAGAAAAACAAAGCACATGACTTCCTCCTTTCTAAAATGTAATATTGCTTAATGTGTCCTGCTTTCAGTATTCTAAGCATAAGACAAGACACCAAGTACACATTGGAAAAGTTGTATCTGCATAGTCATCTAAAATGAGACAAGCTTAGCTTAACTAAAAATTTTTATTAATAATGTAAAATGTTAATATTTTTATGATCTGAGCTAACTCCAGCATGCCCTAGAAGTTTAACACTATGCTGATGTGCAGACACCATGCTTCAGATTTCAATTAGAACAAAATGTGATAATATTCAATTTTACCTTTGAGGGTAATTGTATATGTTACTACACCATTTCCTACCTTCATTCTCCGAGAAGCTGAAAAAGACACCATTGGCTCAAAGGGAAATTAATTGCCCATAAGCATTGTGTGAAGGTATTAGGATTATTGTGTATTTACAAAGTGTATTTCTCATATATTATTTTTGTGGCATTATAAATTAAGATGGTATTTTTATGTTGAAGGTTTAGATTCTGACAGAATGGAAGACTAAAAGTAAATGAGTGCAGAGAAAGAAATAGCTGAGGTGGTATGTTTGGTTATATTATTTATAATGATATTAATATATTGGATTTTTAAAACAGTTTTGTAATTTTAAGTAGAATTCTATGTTTAAAGACTTCTTTCATATATGATAAGGTGTTAACATGAGATCAGCAAGAGCTATAGATATACTATCATGTGAAATAATTTTTCTCTATAATATGCTTAAAAATCTTTAAGTAATTTAAAAATCATAATTCTTGCATCTGTCATGGCATGGTTTGGAGCAGACATGCACAATGTCAACTTTAGAAATCCCTTAAAAAAACAGCCTGCTTTTGAAATCTGTTCTTTTTTCCTTGATGGCAGCTGCTTTCAAATGTAAAATCATTAAAAGGGGCAGGGAGAGGTGGGTAAAAGCAATAAGGAATCATAGAAAACTTAGTCAAAAATCAATCACTGTATGGTTCAGCTGTCTGGAGGTCCTTGGGTTTTGTGATTCTTTATTCAGGTATTCCAAGTGGTAGGTTTCCAGGAGAAATCACTTAGCTGGAGACGAGACAACACAGCCCAAAGAACCTTCTCTTCCGTCTTCTAACCAAGGGGTAGGGAGTTAAATTCAGAAGGCTGCTGTCATCTGTGATGAGACAGAATACACATAGGAGTAAGTAACAGATAAAACAAGGTACTTTTAAAAAGTGGCTTTAAAAATCCAACATTCACCTCAGGGCTCTCACACTGAGCTACATACCCAGTCTTTATTATTATTGTTATTGTTGTTGTTGTTGTTGTTGTTATTTGTATGTTGTGTGTGAGACAGGGTCTTGCAAAATTTCCCAGGCCTCATTCAATCTTGTGATCTTCTGCCTCAGCCTCCCAGAGGGCTCGGATTACAAATGTAGACTACCATGACCAGCGACTCTTGACCTTTTGGACCCAATAATTCTTTGTTGTGGGAGGCTTTCCTAGACATTGCAGCACGTTTAGCAGTCTCCTCCTACTCACTAGGATGCCAAGACTACTTCTCTACCAGTTAGGACAACCAAAAATATTCCCAGATATGGCCAAATGCCCTAGAGAAAGGGCAAAACAGCTTAAGGTTGAGAATCACTCAAGTTGGGAAAAGTAGGTAGTTTATTAGAAAGATTGCATGCCTTGAGGTAAAGTTGGCTTGTTTTCTACACTAACCTCTGCTACTAACTAATTCTCTAACTTTAAATATGGCTTCAGTTTTCTTGTCTGCAAACTAGGGTTTTATAATTAAAGCTACTCCCCTTTAGTGAGGATTAAATGAAATAATCTATGAAAACTATTTAGGTTGGACAGGTTGATTAGTGCCTAAAATGGAGGAAGTGTTCAGCTAAAAATATAGCTATTGGGCCAGGGATTTAGCTCAGTAGCACCATGCCTGCATTGCAAGCACAAGGTTATGGTTTCACTGATTGATTCTGGTTACTGTTAGGTAGCCTTTCTGGGATAGGATAAGAGACTCTTTTTTTTTCCAAACTAGTGTTAAATGAGAACCCTGGAAAAGAGCTTAGAATGAGTAGTTAGATGAAGAGATGGATAGAGTGAAAGAAGTCTACCTCAGTAGGATTACTTTCTTCTACAGAGGATTTGTTTTTCTTGATTACTGAACCTGGACATTCTAGAAACCATCATGAACAAAAATACGTTCTGATTTCTGGTCTTACATAAGTGGTGTCATCCAATCGCCTGGTATTTTCCTCTCTGTCTCTAAAGGCTTTCATGTGTCAGTCACATTTATTTGTAAATAAATATCCACCAAAGTTGACAGTGGTCCTTGGAAAGATGCATTATGCTATATATCTAGGAGGAACTTCAGATGTAAGCTTGTATCACAAGAGAAAAATGGGTGCCCCAGTTGTGCATATCAAACAACTCAAATACAGTCCCCTCTCCAGTCTCCACAGATTAAAATCTTCTCTCAAAACTCAAATTCGGTTACCATAGAGAAAAACAGGGCTATTCTCATCCTTTCCAGAGTGGAAAATAATTTACAACAATCTGGGCATCAACATTTTGATAGCTAAAATTAGGACATCTTTCTTTTATAGTTAATTTGTCCCGAAGAGTTAAGACACAGAAAAGAATGTCAGATACTATACATGAGCTTTTTTTTCTCAGGAGGATCTCTCAGAGATGAATCATGATATATTTGGAAAAACAACAAAAAAGAAATCATACCTTACATTTTCATCATTTCTATGATTTTTATTTTAATCTTCCAGTGATCAATAAAGTTAATCTATTTGGATATGGCAAATAGCATTCTAGGAAAGATAAAAAATTTTGCCCTCAGCCTCTTTTTGGACACTACATTTACTGAAACTCAAGTTCACTAACAATTCAATGCTTTCTTAGGACAGAGTTATCAGAACTAAGAAGGAATTTATGGGGAAAAATATTTATATTTCTATTTTTTGAGACTTGGAAGATTTAAATTAATTTACCTCCTCTTTCACCAGAAGCAAAACAGATTGGAGGAGGGACTTACCTGGTTTTTATATATAATAAAATACAATTGTGATGTGTATTATTTCCGTCTCATGAGAAAATATCTCTCCCAATGTTGTTCTCACAAAAGAATATATGGTATGCATGCTTTAGTCATATGTTTAGTTACATTTTCTCTCTTTAAAATATATGAAAAAGGGCTGAGGATTTAGCTTAGTGGTTCTGCCACCTGCCTCACAAGCACAAGGTCCTGAGTTCCATCCCCGGTACCAAAAAAAAAAAAAAAAAAAAAAAAAAAATGCAGAAAGGTATTATGCTCAAATATCATGACATTTTTATTAGGACTGTATCTTGCATTTGTTTGTTCATTATGGTGAGTCAAAATGCTTTTCAATAGTACAGCTTTTTATAGTATTGAAATTGTTCTTACTCGGCCTGATGTATATCTATATATGTGTGTGTATATGTATATATGTATTTCATGTACACATATGCAGATATTACATATACACGACAATACATATATACAGAATATATATAAGAATACACATGTATATGTCTCACTGACAAGTGGACAGGAGTGTTAGGATTGGTGCAAAAGTGTTCGGACCTTAAGGAAAGAGCAGGCACCTATTAAGGGTGACTGGTGGTTTGGGGCAGCTTCTTCGTGCATTTGTGACACCTTTGCCCAGCCAGGAGCTTGTCTGATCATCACCTAGGGCCAAGGAGACATGGAAGCTCAAAATTTCTTGGCAGAAATTCAAAGCAGTTTTCCACACCACAGGAAGCTGACACCTGCAGTAAACACAGAAATTTACCAAGCAGCAAGCGTGCCTGGAATGGTACGAAGTTGATTCAAGGAAGGATGTCTCCATATGGATTGAAATCTTGCCTCTGAAGGGCTGTGAGCAAAATTGAATATTTCCCCACTTGTACTAAGTTTTCTGGGGTAAAACCTTGAATCTTTTGGGTAATCTTTGGTTTTTTACTGTGAATGTTTGTTTAGATGTGGCTTATTACTCAAAACTTGTAGAGAATCTTTTATTCAAAATGCACAATCTCAGAAAAAATGTAACCAAGGACAGCTTTAAATGTGAAAATGAAAAGTGGCAAAGGAAAAGAGAGAAGGAAAATGTAGTAGAAAGTGAAAGAAAAGAGAGGGTAGAAAATTCAACCATCAGTTAGTATGGACATCACTCATTTTATGTTTAATTCTTGGATACTACTAAAACCAGGAACATTAGAATCTCCTAAGATACAAAGATACCACTTCTCTATTGCTTAAATTTATTTTGCTGATACAAGATGATATGTTGAGAAAAAAAGACCATGAAAATAAGAAGTTTTCAAATAATAAGCTGTGTTTAAGGCTGTGCATTCAGATATAATTAAGAGAAATGCTTACAATGAAATAGTAGCTACAAGTTTCTATTCCAGGACAAAAATAAAAAAGAAAGAATTTCATTGAACTCAGTAGTTCTCAAACATTAGCTGCCTCAGCATCATCTGAAGCCTTGTTAAAGCACAGATTGTTGGCCCCAACTCCAGAGCGTCTGCATTAGTAGGTCTGGGGTGAAGCCAGCAAATCAGCATTTCTTACAAGTTCCCAGACATGCTGATGCTGCCAATCCTGAGACTGCACACACTGAAGACCTGGTAAGTTCAAGGCTTTTTGTTGGGTACTGAGGGAAATACCAAGTTGGGTCATAATAGAAAAATGGTCCCTGCTGCAAAGATCTTTCCGGCAGTAACTATGAATCCTCATTAAAAAGGCCATTAGTGAGACACAAATATAGTGCTATGAGAATTCTTAAGGGGGAGGTATAAAGGGAGATTTAGAGAAGAAGAAAAATGTTTATAGAAGATCCATGGAGGCCTTGATGATCATTCTGGGATACAAGGAATGAGGAGAACTTGGGTGTTATTGAAGTGGGTAGGCATTCTGATAAAGGGAAAATAAGAACAAAAATATGGAGGTGATCAAAGGCAGCTTAATTTAGGTCCGAGTAAAGAGTCTGGTCTGCCTAGAATGAAGAGCTTTTGAAGGAGGGGATGATTCAAAACAACCACTTAGAATTCCCTAAATATGCTTCACTTTCCCTTGCCTCCCTTCTATTAAGCTTGCCATTTCTCCTTTTAAGAAGAGTCCTCCCTCCTTAGACAAGTTAATCTTCTCTTCAAGATTAGTATAAACACTTCCCCCGCCAAAGTCTTTGCTGATTGCTCCACACATCTGCATTCTTTCATGTTTCCATCCCTAAAACAAACAATTCTACAGCACTTAGCATATTACCTACATCCAGTCCTGTTTTCTCACCCCTCTGGACACTACTCTACGAAAATCTTCTTGCATTTACCTTGCTGCCCCAGCTCTTCATCTCTCACTCACTTCCACCCTTCCTTAACCAGGCTTCTATGCCCCAAATTCCACGTCAGTGGTTTATGCCAACAATGCCAACAAGTACCTTGCTGCTAAATCCTGTGAATACTTTCAGTTCTTAATCCACTTTAATCACCCTGAACTTTTAGCCATTCTTTCCTCTCTGCCTTTGATTTATTTCATAATACGTTTCTGATTTTATTTTCGGGTCCCTTTGTAAAGTACATTTTTCTCCCTCCAACCTTAACTTCTCATATTGCAGAGCTCTTTTGTCTGCACACTCCCCATGGGTGGTCTCAACTATTCCTAGGGCTTTCATTACAATTGTGGTGATCTCAGATCTGTTTCTAAGTCACATCTCTCCTTGGCATCATTAATCACTAAGCATTGCTCTTGGAATTTCCCCATGCCCAAAACTTTAATTTTTCCCTACCTCTACCACTTCTCCTCTCTTCTCCCTAATTTAGCTACTGACATTACCATTTCCTCACTTTCCAAGTCTGAACCCAGCTTTATTTTTGATTCTGCCTTTTTTTCTACGCTCCATGTCTAGCGGGCCGCATCTTCCTCTCCAATCCCCTGGATTTAGATGAGATCTTAGGCATTTCTTATCTGGACACTGCACTTGTCTCCTAGCTGAATTCTTCTAACAGCTCCAAGATAAAATCCAACTATCTTAATTTGGCCTAAGGGGACCTAGAAGATATAGCCCACCTACCTCTCTCATCTCTCTTAAGCCTTCATATAAAACTACTTTCCTAACTACTGGGGACTAGTTCATAGAAATGCCCTGCTCTTTAATCTCCCCATGTACCTGCTTACATCTAGAGTCTTCTGTCTAGGCTGTCTTTTTGCTTCTTTTTTTGGTAACTCCTACTCATTCTAAAAAATGTTAGCTCAAAAACTTTCAAAAAGGAAGATCAAAAAAATCCTCCATTTTCAACCCAGATCTGGGTTAGGTGACAATCCACTATGCTCTTGTAGTCACCTATGTCTAATTGTTTTATGGAATTATTTATGTTCTAAATGCTAATTTTTGTGTCTTTTTTTTTTTTGGTACCGGGAATTGAACTCAGGACCTTCTGCTTGCAAGGCAGGCCGCGGAACCACTGAGCTAAATCCCCGGCCCCTGCGTCTTTCTACTAGCATATGTGTGTGTCATTTCCAGAATTCACTTGCCTACCCCAAAGGCTAGGGGAGGCACGTGTCATCTGGAAGAGCTTCTCAGGCGGTTCTCATCTGATTCTGCTCTGGTGAGAGGGACAGCCTCCAGGGAAAGAGACATCCTTAGCACCTGGCACAGAATTTGTCACATCACAGGTGACCCTCTCCTGTAGGATGATGATAGGGCGATGCACGCTGGGGAAAGAGGTCTGTCTTCCTTCCATTAGATGATGAGTAGATATTTAACATTTGTGAGTAGGGGCTCAGGATAATCACAGTAATGTGCTTGAAAGCGATGTGTGGATTAGATTGGTGGAGAGAGGGGGGTTACATATGTCATACTTAATTCTGGACAAAAGTTTGCATAGCTACTGGTAAAACTGCCCGGAATGACCTTCAGATACCAACTGGAAGCTTAGGAAGTCTTCATATGAGGTGGTGAGGAAAGGAAGAAAGGGTCAATTCCAGCACAGAGGGTGGCCTCACTTCCAGTATTCTGTGGCAAAGTGTCCAAGGGCTCTTCTGCCTGAGTGGCCAGTTTGGTTTTGGAATGGGGTCCAGATTGGAGCAAATAGGGGTGTAAGTATGGAACAGGTGGTGGTAGGCTCAATTTAGACTGGAGGAGTACTGTCCACAGGAGAGCATCTATCCTAGAAGATTCAATTTCTGACTTACCTACTTCCAGACCAATTCTAATGCACAGTATAAACAACCAAATTCTATGAAAGAGTGAATATACCAACACATCCCACAGCAGCCATCAAGTCAGAATTTCAGAAAAGGTGAAACTTTCAGTCCTAATTTATTTCTGCCGATTTGTTTTGTTTTATAACAGAGTGCATTTAGAAGATGTTTGTCCTTCATTTTCTAATCTCCTGTTAGCCTTTGTCAGTAACCTTGTGGGCTGTCCACAGGTGGTTCCATTTGTAATCCATTTGACACAGCAAGATGATCATAATTAATGAAGTTCCCCACAGCACTGCCAATGACCCAGAACCTAGGACAGGAGGAACACAGAAGCAGGGGAAAGAGCAGTGGGTTGGGAGCCAGGAGACCTGGATGTGCCTTGTGCCTGCCGGGGAGCTGCAGTAGGATGAGGGTGACCTGCTCTTTGTGTCCTGTTTGTCTCCTGTCTTACACTGGAAGGATGAGAAAGAAAAGGCCTCATCTAAGACAAAGGCACATGACTAACCGTTAAAATTCCTGCCCTTGGCAACCCCCCTTCTTCTCCACTGAAAATCAATTTATGCTTTCATTAATTTTTAATGTGTAGGAAAGGGGAAAGTTATGGTTGAACCTTTAAACGCTGAAATGAGCACAGAACAGTTTCTGAGTGAGAGCTAAGATGGAGCCTGGGAAGAGGAGTGTCTGAGCTGGCCGGCATGCGCATGGTCAGTGCTCAAGACAGGAAACACCAGGACCAGGAGAGGCACCCCATTCCTCTGTTCCAAACACTCATATAAATGAAATAAAGGGAGAAAGGAGAGAAAAAGCAAGAAAGAAGCAGATGGCTTTCAGCGAGTAAAAAACATGTTTTGATAATAAAGTTCTACTGAAAAGAGTTAGAATAGTTTTCCCATACTTCACTTCACACCATTTCCTGGACCTATTACTCCAGATCTGTATAATAAACAAATCACCCGAATAGGGAAGCCTCTGTGCTCTATCCTTGTCTACATATTTCAGGAGAAGAATCTGCATCCAGATTCATTCATTAAAATGGCCCCATATGCATCTGTCAGAGAATGTCCTTGGAGTTACCCCGGGAGCCCTGTACTCCTGCTTCTGGCCCTCTCTGGACCCGCCAGTCCCCTTCCCCACTGCTTCTTAGGTCACAGAGAACATGCTGGGGTGCATGTGTGCAACACATATGCAACAGAGATGGAGCCGTACATGCTCACAGTTCCATTTCTTCCCTAGATGAAGAAACTTGAATTTCCAACAATATATCAACTTCACATTTTTTATTATTATTAAAATCTTATTGCACAACTTCCTTCAGAATTAAAAAGTCCTTGCATCTCCTAGTTTTTTCATTTCATTCTCCAAATGCATGCAGGGATAGAGACATGATATCATTTATTTGGGGAATATTCCCTTTTCACTTATACTTTCCCTCACAGTATCAATGTCAATTATTATTCTTCTGTTTTAAAATATATTTACCCCTTCTCGGCCTTTTGGCTAAGATCAAGTGTAAAATGTATTTAAAATGCTAATTATTTTTTTGTTTACTAAAGTAATATGAAATATAAAATATTTATATTACACGTTTTATAATTATAAAAATGACCTGGACTAGGGATTTAGCTCAGTGGTGCTGCCGCCTGCCTCACAAGTGCAAGGTCCCGAGTTTGATCCCCTGTACCAAGAAAAAAAATGACCTAAATACGATAAAATTTTGGACTTTTTCCATTAAAGTGTAGTGCAAAACCTACTGGGCGAACTGTTACTAGATGGGCAGGAGACATTTATGAAGATCTGATCTAAAGATAGGTTTTATGGTATCTGTGAAATTCAGGCTGGGGGATCCTGGACAGCGGAATGGGATGTTCGGCACCCTGGGGTACTGTTGTGGAGCCTGGGGGAGACCTACCAAGTGCTTTTAGACCCTGGGGAATCTTCAGATATGATTACCAAGTCTGAAGTCCCAGGAGTCAATCAATGCTGTGAACTGCAGGCTCAAGGTGAGCCTTACTGGGACGGGGCGCTCCATTTCCTCAGGGTGAGTGATGGCAGGGACTATTCTATTCTGTGTTGATTTGGGGTTCCCCTGAGAAAAGCTGGGTGGGCCAGCTGGTAAATAATATTAGCAGTGACAGTAGCAACAAGAATACTTACAACACTGCATCTGTCAAGCATTTGCTCTCTGCAAGGTCAGTAGTAGGCATATGGCATTACTTCATTTAATCCTCACAACAACCCTCTGAAGTAGGTAAAGCCATTGTCCCCCTCTCCAGGATGAAGAAACAGATATCTTCAGAAGTTAAACACTTGCTCCTGAGTGCAAGGTGAGTGTCCAAGCCAGCATTTGACTCAAAGCTAACCTTAGTCCAAGGCCATGAGTACTAAATACCATGCGTATTTCTAGTAACAATCTTCTAAGCTGTGATTGGAGCAATCTCTCATTACAAAGAGGTTGTCTACTTTCTTGAATACTACAAAGCACTACACCTATGACTCAAGCCAGTTGGCCTTGGCAGCCAACACAGATTTCCCTGATGTACCACAACCCCTGCCTCTTTTTCTGACTCCAGCCCCATGCAGTTTAAGCCCCACTGCTCTTGAGCCTCTTCGTCTGGTGTTCTCACTTCCACCTCTCCACCTTCTGCTGAGCCGCTCCCTGAGCCAAGAAGCGCTTTAGCTCTGCTGCCAAATTCTCCTCTTCCCCTCCTCCTATTCTCAGGCAAGCAGAACTCTGTCCTGCTTTGCTCCTTAAAAACAAGGAAATTTCTTTCTTGCTTTGTCAAAAGCCTTTTCCGACCCTGTATGTACCACTTTCTGAAGCGGATGCTTACCCATGGGTGCTCTAGCTACATGTGCTTAAAGAAAGTGTTTTCTGTTTGTTTGTTTGTTTGTTTGTTTGTAACCATTCTTAGTCCAGGGGCTGCAAGGTTAGGTGTAGATTTAACACCATTTATTGTTTGTGCCAGAGTTATTTTACTATGTTATTTTACAGGCTCTCCATACTGGGGATATGACAGTTAACAAAGGCATAGAGAGGCCTTTTCCTCATTCCGCTGCAAATCCCCTTTTTGTGCTAGGATACGTGTTCCTAGGCTTGCTCTGGAGATGGGCTGCCTGAATTCACTCCTAGATTTTTACAGTCTGTGTGATTTTTTGCTAAGTTAAACAACCTTTTTCTGTCTCAGTATCCAGTAAAGTGGGAAACAGTAATAACATTCCCTTCAAAGTTGTTATTAGAATTAAATAAGGGGGCTGAGGATATAGCTCATTGGTAGAGCACTTGTCTAGCACCACAAAATAATGCAAATAAATTAAGTTAGTATAGTAGGAGCACATTGTAAGTTCCCAATATATGTTAATTGTTACTGTTACTTTTTAAGGTAATCACACATGTGGATGGCAGTGCTCTTCCTTTGTAAGTATTCCCAAATCTCCTCTACTAGGCTGTAGAGCTCTTAAAGACAAAGGCCAAGTCTTCAGTCTTTCTGTGTAACCACACCTGATGTAGTTTTTTCCACAGCACGTGATAGGCCCCCAGTCTGGAGACAGGGAAGGGGCAGAGAAATCTGCTTCCAAGTTAAAGTGTTTCTTGGCCCCCTTCAAGCCACCTGAGAGACACAGGTCTTATTGCATATTTTCAAAGGAAGAAAAATGTATGCTAAATAGCTTCTACTGTCAGAAAGTTAAAAAAAAAAAACAGCAAACAAATAAAAAAACTACTTGCTTTAACTTCTCCAGAAACAAGCCCCATGTTTATCATGTTGAAAACATCCTCTGCCTCAAAGAGAGATGATGAGACTCACCTTGATTTTTCAATGGTAAAGGCATAGTTTCCCTGAGTTTGCTTAAAAGGTTTTTCATTTCACGCATGTCTCTGTAAAATTGATAAAAACAAAGAATAATCAGCTGAGAACTCTCAAAATAAAATTGCAAAGTCTGGTCTACGAGACAACTGAAGGGCAGGATGAGGCTCTATGCCTAATTTACTAGCTCTAGTTTCCAGTAGACAAATATTGAATTTATTTTGCTTTTATAAGAAAAAGTCTGAGCTGTGTTGGCCCTTGAAGGAATGACAGACTGGCAAACATTTTCATCGGGGCTTTCTCTTTTGGGAGCCTCGTCCTGGTCCCTGAGCAGCCTACTGAGATGAGAGAAGAGCCTTTGGTAATGAGGACGGTACTTCAGATTTACAAGGAGAGGCCAAGAACACACAACTGGAGCAGAGGGCTCTGGGGAGAGCCAGGGCTGAGGGTTGGTGCCACCAAGGCTGTGGTCAGAGACTCTGGTGCCTGTGCAGGTCCCCCTCTTCTGCCCGCTGAGATTTAAGTTTCTCCTTACAACTGGAATTCAGCATAACACATATGTTAAATATTTGTGAGCACCAGGGCTAGTAAATAGAATGATGTGAAAGTGATAAATTCTAAGCCTCCAGGGAAGGAGCTTCCCATGGTGAGAGAGAGAGAGAAGGAGAAAGAGGGAGAGACAGGCAAAGGGGGAAGGGGGGGAGAGAGGAAGAGGAGAGAGGAAGAAGGAGGAAGAGAGAGTGAGAGAGAGAGAGAGAGAGAGAGAGAGAGAGAGAGAGAAAGAGAGAGAGAGACCGTCCCCTAGGGATCTAGTCTTTCCAGGCCTCCTGATGCCCACGGGAACCCACAACAGACAATGCCATTGCACATTTCCAACAACCTCCTTTATCTTACAGGGCATATGATCATGAAACCCCAGGACTGTAGAGCAGGCAGCTGTCTCAGTGGCTTCTAGACTACCTTATGGGAAGAGCTGCCTTTGCCAGCCCTGGGGAAACTGGTTCACATACAAGTCCAAATGATCATGCAATGAAGATCCAAGACATAGTGAGAGATTCCCTCTAAAACAGAAAAAAACAAAACAACCCCCCACCAAAAAATCACCCAAGACCTATCTTTAATTAACTACAGAATGCATAGCACTAGCATGTGTCATGATTTAAAAACTTTTGAGGGGAAAATTCTAAACTTGAAAAAATTTCTACCCACTAATTTCACTAATTTATTTTCCTCTGGCATTTGAAGAAAGAGAGGAGGCATTTAATTTTAAGTACGAAATCCTTCAGTCTATTTTATAAAACACAACTGTTGAACACGGTTCCAGGACCACTGTCTTTAGGGAGGCCAAAGACCCCTCCTCAAGTGTATGGACTGTGATGTAAAAAGGAGCTCAGGTGTCAGGAATTAGTGACGGGTGAAGAAAGGAAAAGTAGCCTGGAGGGCCTGTAGAAATGCCGCTGTAAAAACATTAGGAATACTCTCCTGGGTGAGGTCAGAGACTGGGGCAGTGGAGGGAAGCAGACCATCCCCATTCCCGTCCCACCCCATAAAGTACACAGGGTGCATATGGCTTCCATGGGAGATGTGCAGGTAGGAAAGACAGGAAAGGATCAGGAAGGCACTACCAGGATTGTGGTACAGTTTCTCTGGGAAGGCGCACTTGTCACCTAAAGAATCACCAGTGCCCCACCCTATTTGGAGAGATCCAAGTACAGTTGGCTTTTGATGGGGCCCAGACATCAGTGTTTTTAAAAAGCTCTCCTGGTGAGATACATGCAGAGCTGGGTTTCAGACTCCCTGACTTGAGGGTAGAGAGCCAGGGAGAACCAAGGTAGCTGCATCCCACGTGTCCTGTGCCTGCTTCACCCAGTCTTTCCCAACTCTACCTTTAATCTGGACTTCTAGCCTGACCAGAAACACAGCTGCCTCTGTGGTCTGTCCTACCCTATGCCTTCTGCATCAACATCTTGCTTTCTTAAAGATTATGTACCATGGCTATAGGTCCTATGCAAGGTGTCTGCAAAGGAAAATAGCTTTACTGATGAATTCTGCCCTGATTGTGCCACTCTGGCAGATATATCTTCCCTCCTCCACTGGGAATATTCTATTTTATAAACTAAGATAAACCATTCCTTCATAATGTGTCTATTATTCTATCAAACAGCCAAACAGCTTTATTGTTTGAATTCCTGGATACTGAAGCTTATAAAATTCAAGTTTTATTAATAGCACATAATTACCACATGCTCCAATTTTCTATAAACACAGAAATTCAGTAATTAGCTATAGAATTATATTATTCTCTGAAAGTAGAACCACAATGGCTATATATGTCATTGTGTGTTACATTTCTAAAAATAAAGAATAAAATGTTCATTATTTAGTCAATGACTCAACACCCCACACAAAGAACACTCAGAATTGCCCAGTATTCATTCAGCTGCTTTGGACCACCTCTGAGGACATTATTAGCAAAGGGCACTGATATCAGATGAAGACCTCCTCTTTCTACCTCACAGAATGACATTTTTAGCACTGAGATGAGACATAGAACTGATTAGTAATTATTATTTCCTTCTTTTCCCAAATGAAATAGAATCACGGCAGAATAGCTTCTCCTCCAGAAGGAAAACTCCCTGTCTAGGACTGAGATACCGATGCTAACATAATGCATGGACTCACTTTGACCACTAAGGGGCCATTAGCTACATTCTGGGAGAGAGAAAGGGAAAAAACTCCTGAGAAGCCCTCTGGGAACCATACTGAACGCGGAGACCCTGCTTGGCAGCAAAGCAGGCCATTTTCAATACCTGAAATCTAAGAATCTACTAGAAGCATCTTCACAGATTTTAGATTCTTTTCCTTTAAGCAAATGGCATTTTGCGAAGCAGCACAGGGGGTGAATTGTGTCAGTATGTAGAGCCTCTTTCTCCCTTCCAAAGAAACACACTTTTTTGGGTTTCCATGGAGTCACAGAGGGGAATGAGCTGAGCCTAGGACTCTGCGTCCATGGCAAGAATGAGACTACTTTCTCTGACCTCAGTCTTCACCTGCAGGTTAGGCAGTCTTCAGGGTTTCTCCCAGCCCGGTGTTTCTCCGAAGAACAAGAAGAGCTCTGTTTCTTCTGGACCTGAAATAGAAAACCCTCCCCATGGCCCTCAGAACACTCACTGGAGGAGGACTCTGGCAGTGTACGTGGGGTCTCTTCCCACTTACCTTTCAGTGTTCTCAATGTCTGTGGAAACCTGCCAGGAGTGTTGCTGACTGTCAGTGGGAGATGACAAGGAGTCCTCTAGGGCAGGAGTCTCAGCACTCTCCTCAATTTTGCAGTCCAAATTCTTCGTCCCCCCACCTGCTTCCTTTCCTAAGGGAGAAAGATTGTTGGGAAAGAGAAGAGGATAAGAAATCTCAAGTGAAAGTTCTATACCAGGATGCTATTGCAAAAGGTAGATGTGCTTTGAGTCAAATGCTACATCAACACTAATAGCTTTCTGTGTGATTAAAAAGTGTGCATGTTGTGTGTGTGGGTGTCCGCAGCATGTTGTGCGTGTGTGTGTCTGTAGCATGTTGTGCAGCGCTCTGAGAAACACTGTTGAGGTAAAAACAACCCAAAGACAGAGATAAAACATTAGAGCCCCTGTTTTTGGTGAAGGATTGATGCCTTGTAACCTGTTATGAATTAGATCAAGTTTACTTTGGAGGGGGAATAAAGCCATGCTGGTTTGGTCTCGTGTGCAGGGGATGGTAAAAAGGGCCTGGAGCAGATGACACTTGGCAGGAAGAATGGGAGCTCCTGCTGTTCTCTCTGATTCTAGATGCTGGCTCTCTACAACAGAGATCACAGACCCTTTCGATTCCTTTGCTCTCCCACCTCCTTTAGCACATCCTTTTGTAAGTCTGTATGATCCAACCTTATCATGCTGGGACATTAAAATGCATCCACTAAAGTGCTATGGGCTTTGTACTAGGTAGCTGCCCATAACAATGTCCTGCCAAATCACTAAGACTAATATTTTTAACATGCCTGTTCTCAAATAAATAAACCAGGACTTTCTGGAAAAAGTCTCCAAATAAGTTCAGCCTTAAATTCATATGAAATTACATGGGGGGTTACAGTGCATGGGCTAGGCAGACTCTAGTAATGTCTTAGTCTGCTTTGAAAGTCTTTTTATCCAAAAAGGGGTATGTATCTGCTAACCTAGGCGGAAATGATCTACAAATAAATTCATTTATTACAACTTAATTTAAATTAATTTATAAGTATTTCTTGAGTGTCAGCTAAGTACTAAGCTCTGGTGCTAGAAATATAAATATAAAGTGCTAGAGATAGACAATTAAAACACTATACAAATAATTGCAGAGCTGCTGTACAACATCATGTAGTCTGTAAAAAAGAGTAGCTAACTTGTGTCTTTTATTGTTTCACCCAATTTCATTTCTATTATGTGGATACAGCTCTAGACTAGTTAAGAAATTGTTACAACTCACATCATTGATGATAACTATATTCATTACCTCTTAGTCTCCCTAATTCTGCTGTGATTTTTTTTCTTTTTGTCTCAAAAACTTAAACTTGTGAAGAGGATGGTTGTTCAAGGTAAAATTTAACAACAAGCTTTTTTCTCTTGGATTCTGATTAAAAAGGAATTAGCAAAAAATTTGTTCCTGTGGTTTCTAAACTACATGGCGGCAACACAGAAAGAAAGAGACAATTAAGTGTTAACGGTGTACCTTTCATCAAACTGCAGCTGACACACAAGTTTACTGAGGAGAAATTTGATATCTTGCTGTGTACTTTTATGTACATTGATCCTAGGAGATGGAACTTGCCTGAGGAATTGTTTTTGCAATTTTATAGTAGCTGTTGGGCCAAAATTAATCAAGCGCATAATTTAGCATATTACCATTTCATAGTTGGGAGGGTAATGACCTCTAAAAAACATTTGCATTTTGCCTCTTGATGGAGTGCAGTAATGTGTAGTCAGTCCATTTACCACCCACCTCTGGGCAGAGTCAGCCTTAGGATGTGAGCTTGGGCAGGGGCCACTGAGACCTGGGAGAGGAACAAAAGGGGAGACTCTGCCACAATAACCCTCTACTTTTTAAACTTCTGAAGGATAGAGCATCTGAAAGCATATGTGGAGCATATCTTTGACTAATTATTTCAGAGGAGGGCTGTGGAATGTAAAACTTCTCAATCTTTACAAGGCTGAAAATATAGTTCCCTTTCTTTCTTCTTTGTGTTCACGCTCAAATTATATTGGCTAGGTATATAATTCTGTGTTCAAACTAACCTTCTCTAAGAACCTAGATGATATTGTTCCTTTATCTTCTATTTGTGCCTAAGGATGCTTTGTATGTAGCCTATTATGGTTCTTTGAAAAATTTTCAGGATGTAATCTTTAAACTTTTGAGTTCTAAAGTGAATCCTCAATACATCTAGATGCAAGTCCTTTTTGTTAAATTTTCTTGGAATTTGCAATTTATTTTTTCCAATTTTTTATTTTGAAAATAATTACATATCAGTTTTAGATATAAAATATACATGTTATTTTGCAATGAATCATTTAAGAGTAAGTTGCAGACATTAACAACACTTTATCCTAAATGTTCAGTATTTTATCTCCTAAAGAACAAGGATTGCATAACCTTAAAATAACTTTCACACCAATCTTTAAACTTTGATTAAATATGATTTAGCATCATTTGATGCAGAACTATAACTTAACTTATAGTCTATATTCACATTTCCTCAGTTTTTCCATTGCCCTTTATAGCCTTTTTTATAATTGAGGAACTGAATTAAGAACTATGTGCAAATTTTGTCATGTTTTTAAATTTTTCTTTAATGTAGAAAGTATTTTTGCCTTTTTTTCATCTCATGGATAATTTTGAGTGAATAGTCCAGGCCAATTATTTTATAGAATGTTTCTCCACTTGGATTTGTCCAATTGTTTCTATATGTCCAGATTCAGAGAAAATGTTTTTGTCAAGAATGTTATAGAGTGAATGAAAGGGATAAAATAAAATAAAAATTATTTTAAAATAAATAAATAAATAAATAAATAAAATAGACCTAAAGTAAAAAGAATGTTATAGAGTAGTGGGTCCTTAGTGCATCACATTAGAAGTCACATAAGTCAGTTTGTCTCACTATTAATGAAGTTAATTTCGTTAAGGTGGTTTCACCAGATTTTGATGTGAAAGATGTACTCTGTTCCTTTTGTAATTCTGAAACAATTGACTAGGTGATTCATTAAGGTAGTATGCTATTTTTATTTATTTATTTTTTGGTACCAGGGGTTGAACATGGGTCCTTGTGCTTGCAAGGCAGGCCAACGAACTGCTGAGCTAAATCCCCAGCAACAGTATGCTATTTTTAATTTAAATATTTCTGTTTTCCTTTAACTTTGGTAAGAGCTTTTTTTTTTTTTTTCATTGTCTACTACTTCTTTCAATTTTCTCTATTCTCTTAGAATTCCTGATTCAAATTTGAATCTCTGGCTGTATCTTTCACTTTTCTTAACCCTCCTCCATGGCTGGTATTTATGATTTGGACTGAATTCTGAAAGAATACCTTAACTTGTTCATTTAGTTCACCATTTTAGGGTCTCAGTACTTGTTAAGAATTATGGTGTGGTCCTGAGTTTGATCTCTGGTGGGGGAGGCATTATGAGAGGGCCGAGGAGTTAGCTCAGTGGCACCACGCCTGCTTCTCAAGCAAAGGTCCTAAGTTTGATCCCCACTACCAAACGCAAAAAAAGATTGAGAAAAGACAAACTACAAACTATGACCAAATATATGCAAGTTACTCTGATAAATTACTGCTATCTAGAGTATATAAGGAACTCTCAAAGCTCAACAGTTAAAGAACAAACAAACCAAAAAAAAAAAAAAAAAAAAAAAAAAAAAAAAGAATTATGAAAGTTCTGAGACCTCACCCTACGAGAAATAGCTTGCAACAGTTTCATGGGGAGTGAAAGATGCCACGATATTCCCGGGTCAGAGACAAACATAGCTTTTTACACCCATGATAGCAGTAGCCAGCATATCCGAATTTGTACTGGTTTCTTGAATCCTAGTTCCTGTAGGGTGATGCAAATAAGGCAGATGATGCCTGCATACACAGTAGGGTGTGACAGGAGCAGGACCCCCGGCTCAGGGTTTCAGAGTCTGTTATTAGCACGTCGGCCTCCTGCTCCAGACGGGGACATTTTCATTACCCTCATAGTTAGCGAATGACTTGCTCTGGAGCGAGACAGGCTCTGTTTTCCAAGGCAATTGCTAAACACACACCCTTGAAAAGATAGTGTAAAACAAAGGGCGATCAATGCCTCATTTCGTAGGATGTGTAAGATGTAACAGAACAATGAAAAACTGTCTCCAAGTACTAATTAACAATGATTGTTTTATGGTTATGGCCAACTCATAGATCTCTTCGTATATATTGATACATATATTTAAAATTTTACATCATCTTAAAATTCCTTCTTACAGCAGTAGTTGTTGTATTTGGTGTTAACATTTCACAGTGCTGTTTTTGTTGTTGTTGTTGTTGTTGTTTTAAACCTGGTAATTCTTGGCTGTTTACACAGCTATGTCTTTTAGGATCTTTATTTTCCTATTATTCTAACAACACTACCTTTCTGATAATTTTAAAGAAGAATCAGGATGTGTGGCTGGAAAATAGTGTCCAAAGCCTTTAATCTTAGTGAAAAGATTTCCAATCTCCAGTGTTGTTTCTTGAGCACCCTGCCTATTCTTTAAGCTGCAGGTCTATTCCAAATTTTCTGGTCAGAATTCCTACTCCAGCAAGATATACTGAGCAACTTAATCTGGCAAAAGCGCTGTAATACGGAGCTCACTTTCTTTTTCTTCTGTTGCTGCTCTTGTGGAGGCCCAGAATGATTTCACATTCTCTTCTGCTTTGTTGCTCAGGACTGACATTCACAGTAGGCATTCTCCTGGGGCAAGCACTGATAGTTTCTGCTGCTCAGTGTGGGGTAGCCTAGCTGTGCCTAAATGCAGTTTCAAATGCTAGTTTTCTTGACAATAGTTCCAGAAGTCTCTCCTATGATTTTTATTTGCTGGTTGAGTTTGAAGTATCCCTGGAATTGATTTCATTATTTCAGACATTTTTCCCACTTGATGTTTTTCCTTGTGTTTCTTATCTGCTATGGATTTTTCCATTCGTTTCCACCAATCCAATCCTAATTACTTCCTAGCTCAAATTTCCTGGTTTGCTGAAGTCACCCTTCTTTATTTTTAACCTTCTATTTTCCTCCTATAGTTAGAAAGGATCATGTTACTGAGCCTTAGGGTCAATAGGCTCTTGGCTGGAATGGAGCATGCCTCTGCCAAACC